CATATATTTTAGACTGTTATTTCTGTAACTGTCTGTTTTATCTTTTTCTTTCTTTCTTTTTTTTTGAAAAGGCCTTCGGGCTATTCAATAAAAAAAAAGAACTACTCAGAGTCAGTTGACTGGAGCAGCATATAAATCTAAATATATATAAATACAGGTAGTCCTCGACTTAAGAGCACAACTGAACCTAACATTTCTGTTGCTAAATGAATTTTGCCTCATTTTACCACCTTTCTTGCTACAGTTGTTAAGTTAAGTTAGTAACACAGTTGTTAAGTGAATCTGGTTGACTTTGCTTGTCAGAAGGACACCAAAAGTGGCTACATGACCCTGGGACTCTGCAACCATCATAAATAGGATTCTGATCAGGGGTGGGTTCTAATGTTTTTTACTACCAGTTCTGTGGGCGTGGCTTATTTTGTGGGCATGGCTTGATGATCATGTGACAATTCTTTAGGATTTAGCAGAGGTACTGGTCTACCAGGCTTTTAACTGCTTGCAGAGCTGTACCGGTCTACCCATTTATTTTTGGAGGCACCGGTCTACCACCACACTGCCTTTTAACACTGATCAGCTGTAGGGCAGCCCTTTGAAGCCCTATGGCAAGAGTTTAAACAGTTTTTTTCCTTCTAGCCGATCAGCTGGGACTCAGGAGGCAGCAATAGATTGGGGGTGGGACAGAATAGAAGATAAGAATAACGTGGAGGGGGGATGGGAGGGCCCAGCTCCAAAACAAAGAGAACCGGTTCGGTGACATTCATATCGTCACTGCTACTGGCTCAGCCAAACCGGGCCGACCCCACCACTGATTCTGATCATGTGACCATGGGGATACTGAAACAGCTGCAAGTATGAAAAATGGCCATAAGTCACTTTTTCAGTGCTGTTGAACTTCAAACAGCCAGTAAATGAACTGTTGTAAATCGAGGATTACTTGTACGTGTGCATAAAAAAGTCCCTAAAACTTTAGGAGTATCCCTTCAATTCCTCTACCTAAGCTTTTTGTAAAAAATGCTAGACAACAATGAAAACCAAGCCAAAACCCTGACCCACCTGTCACTTGGGCTAAAAATTAGTTAGTTCTTAATAGCAGCATTGACACTTAACAGCAGTATTAATTCATCAACAAGATCAAGCTTTATTATGTGATCACCTATTTGGCTTGCTTATTGTCCTACATCTGCCTTAAATGCAATCTGGACCTTCTCCCCCAACACCCGGTCAATCTTACCATCTATGGCTCTAATCTGCATTCTTTTGCAATAAAAGTCAACATGGGAGGTAAGTATACAATAGTGTTTTGTCTTGACACACAGGCAAATTGGGAGAGAAAAGGATTGCCAAGCAGCTGGTCTTTTGGGTTGCCAGATTGCAGGCAGGGGTGTGAGATGGGTGTAACTTTTGAAATAAACATGAGGAAGAGTTCCCTAGCATGTGGTAGGCTACAATATAAAGCATGAAGAAGAGCCGTGGTGGCGCAATGGTTAAAATTCAGTATTGCAGGCTAATTCTGCCGACTGCCAGGAGTTCGATTCTGACTGGCTTGAGGCTGATTCATCCTTCCATCCTTCCAATGGATGGATGGTACAATGAGGGCCCAGATTGTTGGGGGCAATATGCTGACTCTATAAACTGCTTGCCTTAGAGAGAGCTGTAAAGCACTATGAAGTGGTATAGAAGTCTAAATGCTATTGCTATTTTATATAAACAAATTGTGAAATTTTGGGATGACTTATGTCATTTTGCTCTTAGGCAGTGATGCTTTCTTTCCCAAATTCTCATAGAGCAACTGCTTCATCATTCCCTTGTAGAACTGTGCTTGGTAACCATAGCCCTCTGATTAATTAGCAGGTCATATCTTCTTCACCTTCTGAAGGAAAGAATTCCTGCCTTCTTTCAGCCTGAGAGCAGTTCATTTCTGCTCCTTTGCTAATGAACCACTTTTATGTGGACAGTGGTTTATTAGCTTGTACCTGAATGACCCAAGACTATTACTTGCAATGGAGCTAATTCCTTTTGTCTGACTCTGTCAAGAGCAGGGGAAAATGAACCTAGTGTTATCTCCTTCCACTCAGCTTTCAACTCACTATGACTAATGCAGCTTTGCTTTAATTGGCAAAGGGAAGACAATCCAATGACTCAGACACCACTATAAACAGTACTGTCTATTTCTAAAGTAAAAGTACCATGGCACCACAAATGACTCAATCATTTCCTAAGAATTATTACTTATAGCGATGAAGCCACATTAATTAGATAATGGCTGGCTGCCAACTAATATTGGCATGACCTACTATATCCTTGGCTCACAGCCATCCATGTCTTTCTATCACATTTTTTTCCTCTCTGGTAATCTAGATGGGAAGTGGGAAATATTCCCAATTGCTACTTTAATTCTTATCATGAATGAAAAGATTAATTAGAATGTCTTGTCAAAAGGAATGGGTTCCACATGTAAATAAAGAAAAATGAAAAGGAACAGAGATCAAATGAAGACTATAATTTTAATCTTCTTAGAAAATGACTGATTTGAATTTAACAGGGCTCAATTTCAGCATGCATTTAGAAAAGGATTCCTCCTTTTCCATGTGCACAAGGGTGTTGTAAAATCATGAATCCACTTTTTTAAGGAGAAGGAAGTAGACCAAGATACATACCATGTATTTTTAAAATACAAGATTAGGGTTTTATAAGAGACTTAGATTTCAATCTTATCCAGCATGTAACTCCCATAGAATTAAATAGAATAACTGCATTTTATATGCCTAATTGGGTCCGCATCCAACTAGCAAGACTAGCATAAAATATTAATTTATTGTATGTCCTTAAGGATTAATGCATTTAATATTTCTTATCACTTTTGTATTACAATAATCTTATGACCTTCGGTTTTATTCTGCAGCTAAGACAATAAATCTTGTCAAGAAATGGAAAGGAGTTAAATGTGACTGAGATCACCTTTATCAACTTGAAGGAGACAGAACTTTGCTAGTAGTGATACTTCTGATGAGTACTTTGTGATTTGTTTAAAGTGACAATTCATATCTGAACTGGGATATGAAAAGGCTGGGATATGAAAAAAGTCACTAATCCAGTTTCATTGACTAAGTTTAAAAGGAGCTTTGGTCAAAATATTTTGAAGTCACAAAAAAATTAAAAGAGCTTCCTATCCATAATCATCATAAAAGGCCAAGTAACAGAGGAATTATTAGCTGAATAACAAAAACGAATAAACAGAGATCAATCTTTAAAAAACTACTGTAAAAAGACCAACACAATCTACACGTAGTCCAGCCTCATTCAATGGAAGCCTTGCTGAGTGCCTTCTTCTCTTTTCTAGGTCTTCTACAGAGAAATGCCTACTGATAGCAAGTATACAGTGTTTACAACCTTCTTATTCCAAGTCATATTGCCAAAATCCAGAGGATGTCATTATGGAAACTGGATTGAGGATCTTTCACCTGTTTTTTTGGTATGACATAACATGTTCAACTTTGATTCTAGCATTAGAGAGGATCTTTCTGACTTTGGGCAACAGATTGGACAAGAAGTGATGGTCTTTTTGACCCTTAACATAATATTATATGCAATAATAGCTATTGCAGGTAGAGAACTAAGTTAGAGGCAGGATGCCCAACTAGAAAAACTAAAAAATATGATGGCAAATGCATGAATGAGAGTAGAAAGGAGTTATGGTAGGAGAATCTTCAGATGGTTTTGGTGGGAAGAAATCCTGGTGTATTTCCAGATCTTTGGTATCAATTGACTATGCTGACACACATTGCATAATATATTTTTCCACATAAAGTAAATTCTTGGATAAAAATGAACAAATGCATAATACTAAATTTACATAATTTACATATATGGTTACACCCTATTAAGATTGCAACTTTAGAAATCAGATGCAATGTATTTCATGTCATAAAAATATTTTTAATTAATTGGGAGTTTGATAACATGCTGATCTTTAGTGTGCCTGGCCTATTTAATTATTGAATCTGTCAACACATGAAGCCTATTGGGAGGAATATAAAAGATACCTTACATTATGTACTTTTCAAGCAAAGAAGCTTAAGCAAGCATTCTTTCAAATATTTTCAAGTATTATGCAATTACATACAGTCAAGCAAAAGTGTCCCAGTGACCCTCTCTTAACCTGACCAATCTGGGCTTGCAAACTCTTTTCCTTGACAGAGTACTGAACTTGGAAAAAGAATTTGCTGAGTGCAAATGTTCTCTTTGATGTTTTGTATTAAATGTTTTCCCTTTCCCCTAATTCCTCTTGTCCAATCTGGGAAGTTATTTTTCAAGGCAGAATTTACAAAGCACTGAATAAATTACACCTGCACAATAGTCAATTTCAACCCCAAATCTTAGCAAGCCACTTCTTTCCTTTAGCAATGCACCCAGGTACAAAAACATCCCAAGGGATCCCAGCACTTTGGTAGGGTAAAAATGGAGGCTCTTTTGTGTGTTCAAAGTCTCATGGAGGTCTTTCAAAGGAAAACTGAACTAGTGAAGCAGAATTAATCATCCTGCTTCTGGTTTAGCTTTGAGATGCTTTCTTCCCTAAAACGCACAGCAATTTGGCTTAGGGTGGTCATGTTTTTACATGTTCTTTTTAAAGCACTGGACGAAAGATTCACTCCGTCCATTGTGCTGCTTGGACCTCTTCCTGCTTTCCCTCTTTCTTCCTTCTCGTTTGATGTTTCCTTGCTCCTGGCAGGCTGTTTCCTTTTGCTTTTACTCTCTAACCCTGGAGACCCGAGGGTGCTTGTTTCAGCATTGCATCCCACTCTCCTTCTCAGGATTAACAAACCCTCCAGCAGAGTCTGATTTCAGCAACATGCAGAGCTTTGGGAATTATATTTAAAAACCTTCAGGTTTATCTGATTCCTAAGCAGTTGGGCACAAAAGAGAGCAGCTTGTTTTCTCTCCTAGCTACCCAGTTTGAAAGGCTGTTTTTCAAGTGACTGATGAACAATGGCATACTATACCTCTTCTGGCAGGCTGACAACCAGGTCATTTTCTGTCTGCCCGACTAACACCTGCAAGAAGTATTCGCTGCATGCAGCCAGCACAGCCCGGTGGGCTCGGAATTCTTTGCCCTCCACAATCAAAGTCACGTCACAGAGAATATCCTGCTTCCGTTGGTCATTGAGGCATAGGAGGATATTGGTACAATGGACTGTTGACTCATACACATACATGGGGGATTCAGTCTTCTCATCCACAGACATTCCGTTCACACCCTAAAATAGAAGCAACAAACAATAAGGGAGAGATAGAGGGCCAAAGTGAGTTATTACAGTGCTTGCAAAAAAAAAAAAAAAAAATCAAAAGGAAGATTACATCATGATTTCTGCACCCTGCATAGTTGAGCCAGCTCTCTGCAGAACTGCTGATCAGCATTTTAATTCTTAGCTGCAACAAAGAATTCAAGAAATCTCTCTCTCTCTCTAGAAAGACAATTGCATTATAGGCTTTTTACTCAACCCACTTAGTTGGTTTTTTTTTCTTCTCCACAGCGCTGAATGAGAGGGATGGATTTTAAGAAATGTTGAAGGCTATTATTAAACACCGTTTTAATAGTATAAGCTGCCTGGAGAAAAAAGAGGATAGGATAAAATCTTTGTAAAACAAGAGTTTTCAACCTATCGTTTTTTGGTATTTTAGAATTACCGGTGCTTAGTGGCATTACAGGAAACTGTGGTTGAAATTTTCAACATTACTGTAGGTCTCCAATTTCAAGGGCAAGTTGGTTGTGGATTTTTGCATTCAAAACACAGATTCCACCCCTTAAAAATGACACATGAGCCGCTCACATCTTATTATACTGATTCAGATAGAGAAGCCAACAGAATTATGATATAACTATGCTTAAAACCCTAAAATACAGCTTGCAAAGATTATCTCAGTTATCTTATATAAAATCTGAAAAGTAGAGCTGCAATTACTCAGTGGGGCTAATGGAGGAGGCCTGAGGGTTAGTGGTTTGTGTAACTACATCTTGAGAGTTTGTAGGAGATGAAAGTTGAATTGGGAACTTCCTGGCCCAGACCAAATGCATTTAGGCATTGCACTGAAACACATACTTACATGGAAATAAGCATCCCTGGAATTCTATGATATTTAGGCTGAAGTAGACCTGAAATGTACTTCTAAATGCAGAACTTTAATAGAAATAAATACAGGTAGTCCTTGACTTATGACCACAATTGAGCCCCAGAATTTATGTTGCTAAGTAAGAATTTTGTTAAGTGAGTTTTGCCCCATTTTACAACTTTTCTTGCAACGTTTGTTAAGTGAATCACTGCAGTTATTAAATTAGTAACACGGTTGTTAAGTGAATCTGGCTTCCCAATTGACTTTACTTGTTGGGAGGTCGCAAAAGAGAATTGCAGGACTCTAGGACATAAATATGAGCCAGCCGTCAAGCATCCAAATGTAAATCACGTGACCATGGGGATGCTGCAATGGTCATAATTGTGAAAAATGGTCATAAATCACTTTCTTCAGTGCCAATGAATGGTCACTAAATGAACTGTTGTAAGTCGAGGACTACCTGTACTTCAATAGAAATAAATGCCAGTCACTGGATATAAACTTATAAGCAAGTCTGTGATACTGACAAAAGAACAAAATAATAGGAGACAGATCTTAAGAAGGAGGCAAGACTGTAGCGTGGCAAATATATATAACATTTAAAAGCTTTACAAAAGAAATATAGCATAAGAATTATTCAAGTACATGTATTAGGAAACATCTAATGTAGTAATATGCTGCTTTTAAAAAACGGGCATTTTTTAAACAGGCATCTCCCCATATTCAGGGGAGTGAATAAATGTGTATTGCAATGCCATGATACAATCTCCACCCTTTTAATACTTGCTTTGTGACACTGCATGCACACACACAAGAACTAGAGCTTTTATCACATCATTTCGTACAATGAAATCTCAGTTTGCTGGGCACACTTGTAAAGCGCAATTGTGTTCTTTATTGTTTCACTGTACTTTGTCTATATAAAATAATATAAAAAGGCTAGATAATTTTCCTCAAAGAAACATTAGGCAGATAAAACATTAGGCAGAACAGATCATGAATTATTTGGAAACTTTCTTTATGAAACTGAAACCAACTAGGTCAAAGATATTAGCCTAATTGAAACTTAGGGAAACTACCATTTGCTTAAATTTAAAAAAATTATGAATTGGACATGGCCTGGAAAAATCAGGCTTATTTGTTTTACTCTTATAGCTCTATTGTCTTATTTTATAATAGTATTAAAATAGATCCTATTTTTTAAAAATGGAGTAAGACTATTTAAAACTATTGCATCATCCTTGTGACTGTTTTCTTTTCTGCACCCTGGCAAAATGATTGATAAAGGGAAGCTTCCCTATTTGCAAGACGACTACCATAAAAGGCATAATCAGTTACAAATACTGCCTTAACAAAATGCAACTGACACTTCTTCTAATTGTCTTTCTTCCTTCAAAAAATTCCAAACACCCTGCTTAGCTTTGTCTTTTTCCCAGGAAATTGGAAAGTATCAACCTGAAGCCATTCATCATTTTTATTTCCAAAGAAATTATTTAGAGCCAAGCCCGTTCATGGAAATAAAGGTAATGCTGGAAGGCTAGCAACATAGGAAGAGGAGGAGGAGAAGGCTTCGATAAAGCTGTGTAGGGAATGCTTTTCAAATTTGCAGATATTAAACTGGATGGGGTAGCAAACAGAAAACAGAAAATAACATTCAAAACTACCTTATTAGGTTAGAAAAATGCACTGAAAGTATTTGAATGAAATTTAGTTAAGTCAGACAGACACTTGCGAAACGAAAGACAAATGTCTGTAACAGGAATTTGGCTTGGTAATAGCAACATCTTCTACTTGTAGCAATAGCACTTAGACTCATATACCGCTTCACAGTGCTTTTACAGCCCTCTCTAAGTGGTTTACCAAGTCAGCATATTGCCCCCCAACAATCTGGGTCTTTATTTTACCAACCTTGGAAGGATGCAAGGCTGAGCCAACCTTGAGCCTGGTGAGATTCGAACTGCCAAATTGTAGGCAGCCGGCAGTCAGCAAAATTAGCTTGCAGTACTGCATTCTAACCACTACACCACCTTGGTAGTTGATTGCAAATTAAATATGAAACAATCAAGTGATAATTTTAGGTCTCAATCAATAGAGGTGTAATTTCAAAATCTGAAAAAAAATATAGTTCCACTTTATTCTAGTTTGGTCAAAGTCCATGCTGAGAATTGCATTTAGCAATTGGCATGGTTTCAGAGAAAGTAATAGGAGATTTAGGGTCTAGAACCTGGGTGCTATGAAGATGGAGTGGGATTTTAGCCTTGAGAAAATACTACCGATGGTGGATATGACAGCACTCTGCAAACATTTGAAATGAGCTCATTCTCTTTAAGTTCTCTTTGTTCTTAAGATAGGAAGGTAGAAGAACGGATTTTAGAAGATAGGATAAAGAAGAATGAATTTTAGAAAATAGGATAAGCATGTTAGCTCCCAAAAATAAGAGGATATGAGAATGAATCTGTTTAAAAGAAAGTATACCCAAGAGGAGAATAGGTTGCCATTCCTGCACTGGTAAAATGGTTGGATTAAATAGCTTAAATGACTTCTTCCATCCCACTGATTCTATGATACCAACAGGAAGACAACTTAAATGCAGCATTTGGATTTATTCATGCTTTTCAAGCCATGTAAAATTAGCTATGTAACTAAAATGTGTAACTGAAAAAAAGGCAATAAAAGTTATTACATATTGACAGGATAAAGACCAAAAAGGAAGACACTCTAAAAAAAAAAGCATTAATAAGATGTGACATCATTCTATAACTAACAGACTGGAAACTAAGTTAATGAAAAGTTTTTTCTTCTTTGAAAGTAAATACTACTAAACTATAAGGGTTAAAATCAAGGACTCAGAATATGTAATCACAGCAGCAAAGATTTCTATTCTTCAAGTCATTTTCTAATCCCATATCCAATTTCACCTCTTGCTAAGAAGTGTTATTGTGGCTGTTTCCAAAACATCCAGACGATTCAAACTGGGAATGGTTCAGAGTGACAGTGAAGGCTTCCAGAAAGCAGCACACATTGAACAAAAGACACTCCACATTTCCGGCTGTCACCAAGACTGAAATGCTGATATCAGGCAACATCATAGTGAGGCTGCCCTAAGAACTTTTAAATTCAACCAGAAAAGAGAAATCTACCATTCTCTGTGTTAATGACAGCGGGTTCTGGGTAGGTGAGGGGAAACAGCAACTACATATAAATGTTTGATTAGTAATGCAAGTCAAAATCCATGAATAAAAGGAATTGTGGGAAATTAAAACGCAGCCTCCCTTCCCGTGGGAAGGCATGAGCAAAGGAATATGCTGAAACATTGACAAGTTGACTGAGAAGGTCAAGTGTTAATATTGCCTGCACCAGAGCACCTATCAGAATGTATTAGCTAGCAGGGCCTTTGGTTTGAAGTCCCAGCAGATATCAGCACCAGAATGACTTTGGCTATATCAAAAAAGCTCTTCAGGGTTGGATTTGGTTAGCACTTGGATGGAGGAACCCAGCAAACCCTAGATTGTCACAAAATATCCCAGAAGGAAGCTGTGGTAAATTACTTCTGTACCTTCCACAAAACTAGCCACAGATGTCCAGGTAGTTTATTTATTAATTGAATTTGTATACCGCCCTTCTCCCAAAAGGGACTCAGGAATATTTTGAGAGACTCATTCACTTCACTTACACATCTGGCACAGGAGAGTCAACATATAATAGCATATAACTGGAGTGAATGAATGAAGGGATCTTTATTTATGGTAGTTGTAGAAAGACTTTTCATACAAAATAGCTGGAGGTTGAAGAACATGTTAGAGAAATGTCATACATGGTATCTTGAATTAAGCAAATATCCTGTTTCCCCCAAAAATAAGACATTCCCTGATAATAAGCCCAATTGGGCTTTTGAGCGTGTGCGCTAAAACAAGCCCCCCGAAAATAAACCCTCCCCCAAAATATTTAACCGCATGTGCAGCTGGTCCCCGCCATTTCATCTGGTTAGGGTTAGGGAGACAGAAGTGGAAATCAGATAAGATGGCAAGAGGAGCCCCGTCTTGCTCCACATGCCCCAAAATAATAAGACCTCCCCAAAAATAAGGCCAAGCGCTTATTCCGGGGTTTAAAAAAATATAAGACATGGTCCTATTTTTGGGAAAACACA